GGCTCCCATGCAAATTTAATCAATTCGAGTACCTCTCGCCAGCCAGGGCTCATTAGCGGCAATTTAAAAAGAGGGCTCTGTGATCCCCACCTCAGTGCACGAGCCAGACGTTCAACTCCAGCACACACACACACACACACACACACACACACACACACACACACACACACACACACACTGATATAAGATACACACACATATCCAAATACTGACACAAACACACAAAAAAAGCACGCACGTCAGGGGCACTGTCAAGGCTGTAAAGATTTTCCTTCAGACGTCTTCCCCCTGGCATGGAGAGAGACCCTGCCTGCACGCCAGCCACCCCCACCCCCCTTTCCTCCCCCTTTTCTGTCCCTCCTCTCTATCCACTACTTCAAAAGCCCCATGACACCCAGCTTCAAGTTAAAGGAGTGAGGGATCCTAAGATAAAGACGACCTCTCATCTCCCAACCCCCTCCTATTCTGAGACACCCCCCCAACACTCAAACCCCAGGCCACCTCTCTCTCTCTCTCTCTCTCTCCCTCTCTCTCTCTCCCCCCCTCTCCTCTCCCCACCTCTCACTCTCCAGCTCTCTATAATTGGAGGATCGATTAGTGCATCCTTAACCTCGGCTCTGTACGCTGGCTCTGGAGTGGGGCAGAGTTGTGCTGGTGAATGAGGTGGGTAGAGGTGCAGCACCTGTTTTGCGAGGCTCAAGTGTCAGGTTAAAGCCGTGGGGGGGGGGGACTGATTCTATTCAGCATCACCTGATAATAGAAAAATAGGTTCAAAACAACCTGCAAGTCAGTAAATAAGTGATTGTTGTTCCATCAAAATTACAATAAAACATTCACCAGATTTGGTTTTATTTACACAGTTTTTGAAATGTCTTCAATATAACTGAGTTGAACACTGAAATATTACACATGTTACAAATAAATGTAACTGCCACATCACCTTCCATGAACAGTGTCCCTGTCACTCTGGATAATGTATCGATTTCACTGGCAGTGGTTGTCAGATTTGTTGTTTTTATGCTGCTTAGTTAAAAAAAACAGAGCAATGTGTATAATATTATTTACTTATTTCGAACTGTGTTGGATAATATCAAACTTCTGCTTGTTACAAAAAACTTTCCCTTTTAAATGACATTTTTTCCCATCATGCGTCTAATAACTAAACTTGAAGAACAAAGCTCCATTTATTGTATTTAACCAGGCTGCACTTTCCCTCTCAGTTCCTACACATCGAGGTTAATGTCATACCCTGCAGCTGTGTGACAACAACACAGCCCTCCACGTCCAACGCCTCCATTTCAAAAATGACTGTTTGTTAGCGAACCTCCAGGGTCATTAACTTTAGAGATGGGGACAGGATGGCCTGAGCGAGTCGTCAAATGAATTACGAGGTTTTTGACAAAAGAGGAATGCCTGTCTATATCTTTAAAATCAGAGGGTCGCCCACTGCCCACCCCTGAGCCCTGCCTCTGCGCCCCGGCATAAGAGTCCCGTTGCCGGGGGCTGGAATGAAAGGCGAGCTTGAGGAGGAACAGTGGCACGTCTATGCTCGGGTTGCACAGTCAGATAGGGGTCCCGGAACTGCGCACACAGTGTTTTGACCCCTGGGCTCTCCTCCACGACCTCCACCCCCTCCGCTTATGGATGCTGGGCCCGAGGGTCCCGATACAGGCACGCTCTCTCAGTGGTGTGACGCAGTAGCAGAGGGCAGGGAGGGTGAGAGGAAGGCGTAAGGAAGTAGGGAGGGAGGGAGAGTTGGCAGAGGATGCTCTTTGACTGCTCACGACACAATTCTGACGTGAATGGTCAACAGTGAAATGCCAGCGACGGACCAGTGAGACAGGCTTGTGTGACTTTCAGTGAAATACTGTATGTTTACTAAATTGTTCACTACATTTAGAAACTTCCTCATTAAAACTGATTTGTTCGACTAACCTGAGGTTTCGACTGCTGTTAGATTGAAATGAAAACAACCATCAGCCTCTCCTTGTTTTGGCCCATCTCGAGCTGTTGGCTCACCTCCGCTCTGGTCAGCAGTGTTTGGGCCAAGGCCTCTGGTCCCTCTCTTACAGCCCCCTCCACCTCTCACTGTGTCTGGTGACATTTACGCCTGGCTCTCTCTCTTCCCTCTTCCCCTCCAGTGGCTCCCAGGAGAGGCTGATGGATGGGCCCTGTTTATGAAGCTGCTGCCACCACAGTGATCAATCAAGCCTGGGTCACTACGATTCCCTGCTGGGCGCCAGGCCTTCAGTCTATTTCACACTATAATCTCAGGGAAGTAACCACACAATCAGTTCCTGCATGATCACACAGAGGTTGAGGGAGAAAATCAGAACATTAAGAAACACGGTTTCTTCAGAAATGTGTTTTCTTCATCTGAAATATGAAGTCTTGACTCCGGGATTAGAGTTAATGACAGGAGGATAAATGACAGTTGGCCTTAGTGACAGTTAAACCGAGGGTCTTCTTACAGTGAGGCATCACACCTAATCCTTGCTCTAACATGGCACTCAGGCAAACTGATCAGTACAATTGACTCTCTCAGAATTCGCCATGACCAAGGTGGTGAGGTGGAGGGTCCTGAGAAATCAGAGAGATGTGAAGAAGCCCTCATTGGCTTTTTCCATAGACGATATTTTGACACGTCCGAGTAGGAACAAGAAAATAAAACCTGGTATATGGTTGAACCATGTTTGGTTGATGTCTGAAGGTGAGGAAGTAAAAAACTGTTGTGAGAGCTGCAAACAAATTCAGCACTTTCAATGGAAGGTAGCTAAATGTCGTAAGATGATGCTAATTGTAATATTTATGATGTCATTGTGTTTTTCTTTTCTGTTTGAAAAGAACAAGCTTTAAAAAGTGACTGAAACATCACTGTCAAACACCTCAGCTGAAGGAGAGACATAAAGCCCAACCTCACCCTCAAAGGGCAACACTAGTGACTTTTATCTATGGAAAGTAGCTCAACTATTTTTCTTTAATAGAATTTTATAGAAGTTTCTGTCACAAAACATGTACACGAAAAATCTGTAAGACTTGCAAAAAATATGTTTTAATGCTAAGTTTAATTTTTCCTCGATATCGCAATAGAATCTGCCAGTGGAGAAATTTCAAAACTCGTTAGGCTGACCAATGGTGTAACTTTACCACACAGTTAATTGGTCACGAACAGACTTTCACGTTTGTAGAACGCTTGTTGCTGCACAACCAAAAACACAGATGTAAATAATTAAATGAATGATGGATGAATTCCACGTAGCTCCGTCAGTTTCAGGCTCCTTGTGTTGTCCCTGTTATAATAATCATATTTCTGCAGCTACAGTATATGGTGAACTAGGATGTAAATGAGCAGTGATTAACATGGTTACCTGATGATCTGTGACAGAACGAGCATCACACACAGAAGAATGAGAATAAACTTTATAAAGTGACACAACAGTAACATCAGTTTCATGTGTCTCTCAGGGGAGCCTTTGAACAGAGGTGTGTGTCTGCACAGATGCAGCTAATAAAATGAATAATTGCTAGTTTGGATTAAAGTGAGCTAATGAGCGAGCATTGACAATATTATTATTACCACCGTTTGCTAACTGACACCTAAATCGTGGTTCATTTTATTAGCTGCAGCTGTGTGTACCCTGCTGTGACATATGAAAAGGGTCTGCAGGAGGTGTGTGCTGAATCCTAAGTCAAGGGCAGCGACAAAGGTGTGTCCTTCAGAGGCTCTTCTGCATCTGCCACAACCACAACAGTGGATTTGTGTCCCTCATCAGTATGAAAGGAAAAACAGTCATGTTTATCAGCATGAGAAAAGAACTGACATTCATATTCAGTTTCACGAACAGTACAAGTGGTGATGTGAACGATTTAAAGTCAACTGGTTATGTACTAAGTCAAGAGAATGAATGTCCATATATTATATATAGGGCAACACGGCCCTTAACAGCAAGAAGGTTCCCAGTTCGTACATCCCCCGCTTCGGCAGGTACATGTGTCCTCCCCATGTCTGTGTGGGTTTTCTCTCGTACTCCTGCTTCCTCCCAGTCCAAACACGTGCGGGTGTGGTTAGGTTAATTGGAGACTACATGGACTGTAGGTGTGAGTGGTGCCTCTGTTTGCCCTGCGATACTCCGGTGACCTATCCAGGATGTACGCCGCTTCTGCCCAATGGGAGCTGGGATTGGCTCCAGCTCCCCCCTGCAACCCTCAAGAGGATAAGCAGTAAAAGTGGACGGATGGATATTATTTATACATGTTTCTTGTATATGTACTATTATATTATATACGTATATATGTACCTTAGTGTTTCATCTATTGGTCAGTGGGTCATGAAAACTAATCACACACGAACGTATTGCTGTGAGCGGCATAAACATGTTGTACTTCCTAACTTTACATGTTGACGAGGAAAAACTGAATCCAACATTGATTATCTTAAATGTGTCTGACTGTGGAATCTGGCGGGCCACCTCAGACTGAGTGCTCGTGAAGTTGTTAGAGGACTGAACTTCTTTTGTAGCTTTGAAGTCAAACATGGCTGTCTCTTGAAACAGGTTTCAAATTGGAGTTGAAGGGTCCAACACCACAGTTCACTACCTACTGCAGCAGGGACCAGTGAGTGAGGCACACAAACACATAGAAAATGGAACAACTGCAATTTTAACTCTAATGTCGAACAGTGGGTCACACCTATAACTCTTGAAACCCGGCTTAGTCTATTTCCTGCAAGTTCCAGTGTCTTCAGCCACCGATATATTTATTTCAGCTAGTGTCATAAAGAACACTAATGCCACCTACTGGTTCAAGAGTAAACTACAACAGCTGGCCTGAGTTCAAATTCAGCCTGAGGAATCTTTGACAATCACTGCCCTCCCTCCCTCCCTTCCTCCCTCTCTCTCTCTCTCCCCACAGGAAAAAAACTTCCCGAAATGTAAACTCCACAAACTGCTGTCCCAAAACGAGGTCAACCAGTTGTTATCTGTAAGTTAAACCACATCAACCTGCAAGTTCTTCTCATATTTATTATGTGAAAGAAACTAAAAAAGGTTTGGATAAATATGTACAAGATTTCACAGGTGCAGCAAAATTTGAGGAAAATGAAAAATGTCTATGGTCTGGTCCAGGAGTCGATCACATCATCAGTCATTAGGTTGTTGATTCCCCTCTCAGCGTTTCCTCTTGGTCTCAAACTTGTAAATTGCTGCAGAACTGGTTGTCTCCTTTTTCACTTTCACTTTTTTAGCCTTATCCTGGTTTGCAGGGGAGATAAAATGTACATAACAAAAATAATGACAGTTATTTGAAATGAAAGCTAAAAGGCTCATTGGCTGTGTCTCAACACTTGGAGGACCTCTGATGCTATCGATCTTCAAATGCAGCCTCCAAAGGACGCGGACCTTAAAATGGACCACAGTGATTGCTATTAAAAACCGTCTCCGTCTCCTCACCTGCAGATCCTTGCGTGTCTGGATCTTCTGGCTGATGACAAACAGTTTCTTCTCTCTGTCAATCCTCTGGGAAAGGATCTTATACTGGTTCTTCCTCTGCCTGGCCAACTTCTACAGGTGCAACAAGAAGAAGACACGAACCATCGGTCGATTGAGCTGAAGAACGCGTTGACTTTTTTCTAGAAGTCTGTCAGCAAAGGTTCAGGGTGTAATGTTGTAGCTGAATGTTTCAAACACAGACCTGCACACTGCGAGGCTGCACAGCTCCCTGGATGCTCTTAGTCTCCAGGGTTTTCAGAGTCGGTCTGTTGTACACTCGGTCCACCAGCTCAGGAGCAGTGTTGAGGTGGGTCGCCAGGTCAAATGACTCCACTGAGGAAACATCATATTAAAAGCGTTAAACTCTGTGACCTCACAGCTGTGGCAACATGTGAGGATAAGGACAGTGTCCGTGCACATTAATTAAATCTTCCATCCAACAGACAGTTAAGATCCAAGCCCCTCAATACATTATCTATTAAATATTTATATTCACCTTCCTTCTTGGAATCCACATAAAATGTGTGCTTGTTTTTCTGTTTGCTGTCTGCGTCCAGGAGGTGGAGCTCTGCTTTCATCCTCTCGATTTTCTGAGAGCAAACGATAAACAGAGATTATGAAAGAAACAACAAACACATCTGTACTTTCTAATGTTTTGTAATGGATTCACGTTAAAGCAGCCGTTCCAACTCCACAACAAATAATGACCCAAAGTACAACTAGTATCATTTCAGCCTAAAGTTTACTGGAGTTTTGAGGCTGATACTGACGATAATCAAGAAAAACTTTAATGGAGATGCTTTGGATTAGTTTAAAAAAAAAAAAGAAATATTATAGAGAGCAGTTTACAGGTAGAAAATAGACTAGCCAGTGCTCTCTGGTGGACAAAGTCTGTCATTGAGACGCTGTAATTTTTTGTTAAGTTTTTGGGGAAAAATAAAAGTGACCTTTGTCAGATTATGACTTTTAGAAACGAGCCGAGAGCAACTTGAAAAGTTCCTGTGATAATCAATGAGTTCTTTTGTTCCAGATTGAAAATGACTTGAGGTTCTGAGTTTGTGCACGATGAATGATGAACTCACCTTAACCTCTGCAACCCTCTTCATCTCCACATATTTGATATCCTGCGTCCTCATCATTTTTCTCTGCTCCTCCGTCACCTCCACCTCCTCCGTGTCTTTTGTAGCTATGTGAACTCCTTCCTGCCCCGAAACAAGGTTTACACATTAAAACACCCCCGAGGCCTCAATTTAAACCCGTGCACAAAGTAATAAGCAGAAAGAAAAAGAGAGGAATTGGTGTTTGACACAGATTTAAATCTCGTGGCTGTGATCTCACCTGCAGCTTTGAGTTGATCATGTTAAAGTAGAACTCATCCGGGTTCTTCTCCAGAGCTTTCTTCCGCAGAGCAGAGAGCGTGTTTTGTTTCTTGTGGTAGTCACTGTAATATCACAGACAACACACAGTCAGATGGTTCAACTGATCACAAATCAAACACATGAGGCGGATCTAAAATCTGTGAACACAGGAAGCATCATGATCTACGGTTCACTCACTCTGCACGGAGCTTGTAGTCCTTCTTCTTCTCCAGGAGTCCCAGATGTTTCCTGGCACCAGGCTGGAAGAACACAAATGATGCGTGTTAGACATTCAGTGCGTTGTTTATTGATTCAGGACGAATCCTAACGTGTATCTGCTTGTTTACAACCTGCGGACGTGTTAAAACGCGTGTGCTTCATAACTTCATCAGCTGGCTAACGCTAACAACACAGTGCGGAGCTCACCTGAGATCTTTCATGATGGTTCCTCTGACGGGATTTCAGCGCTTTCCTGAACGAAGACATGTTTGGAAAATGTCCCCGAGCTTTAACGCCGACAGATGTCTCAGTGAAAGCGGATAAACGTGTCTGTGACTGTGTGTAAAAGACCCAAACACTCAGGCACAGACCAGACCTGCTGCTTCCTCTGGAGCCTGAGACACGTGGCTTCCTGTCCGGGTCACACAGTTGATTTTCATTTCCGCTCCGCAGATTCGCTCCTCGACTCAACCTGAAAACTAATGAGCCCGGTTGAGAATATTATTATAATAAATATATTTTATTCCATTGTTACTTTTCTTAATCCAAACTCAAGGATTACGAGTCATTTTTAAATCAAATAAAATGATTTGAATTTAATGCTGCGGGTTGTAAGAGTGTAAAAATAACACACCAGGGGGCGCTGTTGCATAGATTTAAAAACGTGTTTGTATTACACATTGCAGAGGTGACATTTTTTGTATGTAAAGTACAGAACTGAACTTGTATATCAATATCTTTACAATACACAGAGAGGAAATGTGCACTTTGACTGCTCTGCATTTATTGAGATGCTGTGGGTTTCTTGTTATTTTGCAGATTAAGAATCTCATAAAACATATGGCTAAAGTATTCAACTGCCCATAACTAGTTAAAACTACTTAATGTCGTGAAGTAGTCGTGTTTAATCCAGAAATAACATACACAGGAGCCATCCTGCGGAATAACCATGACTGTAAGTTTATACCGTTGTGCTGTACATTTACTTAAGTAAGGGATCATTACATGTGTTCCACCACTGGTGTTATGTTAGTAAATCATTTAGAAATTACTGTAGCCCTGCATGGATGAACACGTTTGAACAAGTTAATCACCCAATTTCCTTAACATTGCTTTTGATCTAATAACTTTCAGTTCATTTCAGTTCAAAGACCTTGTAATATTTCGTTTGGCTTCAAATATTCAAGACCAAAGTGCACACACCAAATCATTTCACTCATTATAATGAGGGCCTCTGTTTGCCAGAGTGCACAGTTAACACTAATTGGTAACAAGTTTATTTTTCTACAACTTGCATACTTCCACTCCTGTTCCAGACTTCTAAGAACACACACACACACACACACACACACACAGGAAATAAAAAGCAACCATGCCATTTGAACTCAAATATTTTGTTGTTTGCATGTCACAGACAATACAGAAGAAAGAGAGACAAACAAAGTACAGTATTGCAGGAACCTGGACGATGAGGGGGGTCACCACTCTGCTCGGGGGAAAAGGGCTATCCACCTCCCTAACATGATTTTCTTGGAAGAAAAGAGACAAAGACAAAGCCGCAGCGGCACCAGCCCCTTAATCTCACCCAGACTCTGCGCTCTTTGTGGATGTGAGAAGAAGCCAGCAGGACAGAGGGTTATATTCCACTAAACAGCCATTTTTCCCCCCATGGCACCTCGCTATCCCCGCTCCAACCACAAGGAATTTGTTTTATATGTGTGAGATTTGCCTGGCATGCTGAATGTTTTGCGGGTGATGAGACCCATGAATGGAATCAGTGTTTCCACATTATGTCACAGGCTTGTTTATCAGTCTGATGGCTAATGACCCCGATTCCTGTGAAGGTTTCAGCCCAAGGCCCGACTGGTCCACCCGCCCGCCACACTAACTTGTGTTTAACTAGGCAAACACAGACGGCGGCTTGAGCCAGAGTTGATGGGTTAAATGTCTGCGTTCTGATTTGTTGGGCTGCGTGCTGTTTTTATTCATGCAAGTATTTACCATTACAAATGAAATGCCTGGTGCCACGGCGGGGGTAAATACTACTTTGGAGATCAGGGGCGCGTAACAAGCTGATGCAAGAGCAGAAGGACAAGAGGTTGTGGGTTTGTTCAGGGTCAGCAATGGAGGAATGCCCTTGTGGGACAGATGCAGAGCCGTTTGGTTTTCTAATATGACCCCGTAAAAATAACACTGCTGACATATTGTAAGACTGCGGCACTTGGGCTGAGCTCAGGGCTTTGGTATGTCTCCTCTGACCATGGTTGGTCCTCATCTGCAGCGAGCCGCCAGGCCAGCCCAGTCCAAAAATGCATGAGCTAGTCGTTCCTCCTGTGTGATTATTCAGTTGCATCCCCCAAACTTTATAAAAGGGATTTAAAAAACAACAGCAGATAGATTCAGACTTCAGCCTGTGAAGTCATTACTGGCAGTGGTGAAACGTAGCTGAATGTCTGCACATATATGTTGCACTTGGGGTAAAAGTTTGAGGTACTTGTACTTAACTTACTTCGATTTTCCTGTTGATTTATACTTGTATTCCACCACATATCAGTGGGAAAAGTACTTTTTACTCCACTACATCTATTTGACAGCCACAGTCACTAATTCTTTTTGAGATTAAGAATAAAGAAAGACATAAAAACCTTCATTTTTGGTTTGTAATGTCTAACTGAGACAGCTGAGGCCCATCTCATACGTGCTTATTGTTTGTGGTTCCTATATATGATGCTTATTCTCTACAACTCTTATATGATTTAATGTAAGTAACTGGTGTAAGTGGGTACACGTCTATTACTTCACAAATAATGAGATTAAGATGAGTTTAGACTAGATTAGATTAGTTTAGTTTAGATTAGTTTGGTTTAGATATCAGGCACCATGCACAGAACAGCCATTGAGCCAGAGTTAGCTGTATAGCTCTGTGCCTCTGTCGTCCCTGGGAAAGGAAAATGTAAAACATAAAAGAGTTAACTGCAAACAAGTGGAAGATTTACATCACATATAAAAACGTCTCCGTCTCTTTGTTAGAAAACAGCTCAAAAACTCAATGATCACATGACTTGTCTCTGTGCTTTAGGTAATTCTGCAGCTTGTGCATCCTCTGACATCGGTGGTTTTTCCTGCTGCTCCGACAGAGAAAGCTGTTTTTAATACTTTTTCCACCATTGGTCACCTCCAAACACCCCCCTCTGCTCCTTGATGCCTGGTTCCCAGCTGTGACAATAGGTGCACTCCTGGGTGGGATTCTCACCATCGTGACCTTGACCACAAAAGTCTTGTAAAACAAAAAAAATGTCTGTAATTAAGTGCCAGCGTACGTTGCTTATTTTCCCTGCTTGAGTTTTGAGAGTGTATATCGCCGCGTGGCCGTTTAATACCCTCGACAATCACAGCAGTGAAGTGGTGAGAAGTGGATGGCTCTCAGATGAGGCTCGATATACCTCAAGTGCACTGTAAAAAAGCTCTTATCGCCAAACATCATCAAAAGGTTCTTACAGTTGATGGTCTTTTGATAGACGTTTGAGTTTTTATCTTTAAAAGGCAGCGCACCATTCACATGTCCCTGCAGAATCTAAAGCTACTAATGTTTTTTATCTATGTATTTTCTAGATCTTATAAAATAAAGTTGATATCATGCAACGTGCCACAAATTCCACTCACCGTTACATATGTGAGCAACACAGAGGCCTACTGTTAGAGGTCATACACAATAGTTAAATGGGGACTTTTACCAGTTTAATTGCTTCATTGGTCAGCTGTCCAGTGTCATGATGCCCATTAGAGCTAATCTCACTCAGGTGTTCCCAGACCACAACCGGACTCCAAAAAAAGACGTCAAGGTTGACAGTGTTGCACAATTTTAAATTTCATTTAGCAGAGCGTGACAGTGTTTTACAGTTTCCATTGTGACTGTGTCTTTTTACATGAGAAGTGCTAATACTTTGAGCTGATAACTCATTTAACCCCTATTACCTCTAAACTTGTTTTTCAAAAGGAAGACAGACATTTCATGTAAAAGATAAAAAAAGACCTTCAAACAGCGAGCAGGTCATCAGGCCGTGTCTCCCATGATGCATTGACAGGCATCTATCCTCTAATTTGTTGAAAGCACTCTGACGGGACCACGCCTCAGAGTGTAAAATTAGAATTTATAATTATGGTGTTGTGGGGACAGAGGGGTCAGACAGTACTCACTCTTATCTACTGTATGTGTTTGATGGGTTGTCACGCAGCCTTTTCTCACAAATGTTTCACTTTTAAAACTTTAAACTTTCCAATCTGAGCTATTTCGCTAATTGTGAAATAAAATAAACATTGACGACACTTTATCTCTAATTTGTACATGTTTCAAATGTCATCACTCTGTTTGAGTCACGGCAGATAGGACTGGAAACCCAAACCACACAAGTGCATGGTGACTGGTGAAACACTCTGAAACCTGAAATGACGCAGGTGAACAATGCCAGGGCGGTACCTCTGTCAACAGAACTGTGTTTTAATGTCCTGATTAACAGCAGTGACTCAAGTGATCAGAGGTTCGTTCTCCATGTGTCGATTCAGGAGCAGCTGCATTCAGGAGAAATGTTGCTCCCACCTGTTGAGTCATGACAGAAGCGAAACATTAGAACTGGTGAAAGGAGCCACACTGAAAAATAGGGAACTGAAATTGAACAGCTGTGTTGGTCTTTACCCAGTTTGGTAATGTCAGGGCCGTCAAAGGACAACCATCAAAGGGAACTTTAGAGCAAAGTATAATTTATGAAATGGAAAAAACATTTAGATATTAAATATAAACTCTCCATTAGAACCCAAGAGTCACTTCAATGGCAAAATATTGAATTAGAGCAGGCAGGAGGAAATGACATTTATTGTGCTAGTTATTGAAATCAGCTGATATGGTCAGTTTCATATAATCTTTAGCCACATGGCCCTGCGCTGTCTGAATCTGAATCTGATATTTATTTGACCCAACCGTGACTACACCAACAACACCTATTTTTAGTTTTGAACATTTTACTACCATTCAGCGGCAGTAAAGATAAAAGTGTGCCCTAAAGCCTAATTTCCCTTTTACTACTTACATGACCTCATACTGATTCAGAGGAGAAACTCCCTTATGAAATAATTGTAAACGCTAAACTATTGCAAAATGTTCACCATTTTAATTTAGCTGTAAGTTTGGAAATAAGCATTATTTTGAAATGGATTTTGTTTACAGGGACTTTTAAAAAGTGAAAATAAGAAACTCTGATATTCGTTTCATACAATATGTTAAACTTCTGAGTTACCTCTGCCATGAGGTTATGTTTTCATTTGTTTATTTGTCTGTCTTTCAGCAGGATCACTCAAAAGCTACTAAATTGATCTATTTAATTTTGTGGAGGTTTTGGAAACAACCAATTTGATTTTCACATTTTCAACATGGTGAGATAGAGTGTAGACCT